CTTGCAGGACCTGCTTTGCACATCTCTGCAATCATTGTGAGGATGTGTCTGTAATTAAACCTTTGCACACTTTGCAAAGTTTAAAGTTTTGGTTTTCTTTAGCTTTTTTTGCCTTCAGAAAGGCTCAAAATAGGGTGTGCTAACTATGTTCATTTTTTCATTGCTTGCTGGAGGGTTGGGTGTTTGTGTATGTGTGTTAGTGTATATTTTCAATTAAGCTTGGCAAAAATGCATGTCTTTAACCTTCAGAAAATACTAAAAAGCTGTTTATAGCTTAAACCCCCTTTTTTCACATTTAAGGTTGTGATTAAAAAAACAAAAACAAAAGCACTATTAGAGCTTTATATCAAAAGCAGTAAGGTTTGCTTCGAAACATAGGTTTTTCAAGACAGTCAAGCCTGAGGATTACCAGAGGTCAATGCAATCAAGTGGTGGGTCATGCTAATCATTAACTTTAGGACTTGCAAGCAAACTTTCCTGATGGGATTAGGTAACACATATCTGGTAGTGTTTGTAACCTGGTGACATTTGCACCACGGGTTTTGATTTATTTTGATGATGCCACTGATTAAAGCTACTGGTAAACGCTCACTATAAGTTAGTATATACTATAACTATTGGTAGCAAGTAATGAATATAATTTTGAATATTTGTCTTTAATTTATAATTTAAAGTGCAGACTCTTAGGCAGAGGATTGCTGCCCCAACTCTCAGGGAAATTTGATGTAGTCCAGTGAAGAATGTTTTGCAAGTTTGGGGCTGCTCTCAGCTTCAGCACCTGCTGAGACACACTGTGACTTGTCCACGAGAACCTCTTCTACATTATTAAAAGCTACATTGACAATCAGCTTTTTCAGAAGCACAAAAATCAATCATGATCCAAATGTTTCAAACAGGACATTTCAATATCTTGTTATTTATTTATTTACTTGATTTATATAGCCACCCATCTCACTTTTATGTGACTCTAGGCGGCTTATAATAAAACAAATAAAAACACAAAACACATAATAGAAAACAAAAATAAAAACCCATAGCAGCCAGGCATGATCTAACCTATCATCCATACAACAAGGAGATGGGCTTTAACCCCTGCCCAGGGACCCAGGCTTGAACACAACGCCAGGTTTTCAAGGCCTTATGAAAGATCAAGAGGGACGGGGCCAATCTAATCTCAGGGGAGATGATGTTCCAAAGGGCAGATGCCATGGCAGAAAAGGCTGTCCTTCTGGGCCCTGCCAGCCAACACTCCCTAATTGACGGTACCCAGAGCATCCCTTCCTGCCAGATCGGATGGGACAGGTAGAAACAACTACGTAGTATGTATGTATTTATATAGTAATAATGCACTTAGGTTTTATGAACCAATTATTTTGATTATTAATGTGCTTCCCGTCTATTTTCTCTTTATTGTCTGGATCCTGTGTGGCATTAATATATAGGTTTAGCGTATACAGGTTGAAATACTATCAATACCACAATTAAAGGTTAATATCTACATAAGCCCTCTAGATTAAAAGCCATCAGTCATTATTTATGACAATACCTAAAAATGCATTTAAAGGAGTGTTTTACTGATACTAATCTGATTTTCAGTGAAAACAGTTTTAACTTGGGTTCAGAGGCATTTCCACTATCATGAATTCTAGGTCTGGTGAAACACAAACTGACATAGAATTTCGAAAAATTCTTTGCAGGAATCACTGTGGTTGGCCCTGTTTTCACTGATCTTTCTTCAAAAATGTACCTTCCTCAGTGGTAGATAAAGAATATAGATAGAATATAGTTTTTCAGTAAAGAATATCACTCTATGCTTGAAGACTATGAGCTGAATTCATAAGCCACCTGCAGATTAACTGCTCTTTCTTTTTGTGGGTGGGATGAAGAAGACAGGAATCTGTTGATTCTTTCTCTACCTGCAAATTTTTATGTCACCTGCCTCCCCATCTGTTCTGGTGTATTGGGTAGTTTCCAGAACACTGGATGAGATTGTGTTAATGGCTCCAAAGGGAATCAGCGAAAATTGCTTTTCCTCTTTCCTACTGGACAGAATATTGTGAGTGGAATTCATTTTTAGAAACTCTGCTGCTGAACACAGAAGCTCATTTTGTTGCTGTTTTCATGCAAACAATATTAACATATATGTTTGACCCATAACTTAGTTTTATTACTAATACAAGGATGAACAGCATGTAGCGTTAAATTGTTGTTGTTGTTGTTGTTGTTGTTGCAACTTGCGCTATTGAGCTGAGTAACTCTGGAGAGTTGCATGTAGTTCATATCTGAAGTTAACAGAACACAAAGTTGTCATCTGTTTAGAATTCTCCGGAGCTGGAACAAATAGCTTGTTAGAACTAATACAATAACCATCAATCTGAATTTGCATGAAATGGTTTTGTTTTTTTTTTAGTTACAATGGCAATGAGTGCACCATTGGAAGACTTGAAAGACCAAATAGGGGACAGATTGTATGGAGAAATGGGTTACTGCAACATACTCTACATGGGGTTGCCCTTGAAGAGCATTAGAAGCTTCACCTGGTGCAAAATGTGGAAGTGCAGGCAATTATGGGTGCTGATTGTTCAGGACATGTGACATCTCTGCTCCGTAAGCTGCATTGCATACCAGTATGCTTCCGGGTACAATTCAATGTGCTGGTTTAAGCCCTTTAAAGCCCTTCATGGCTTAGGGCTGGGTTACTTAGAGGACCATCTCTCCCCAGTGGTGTTGACCATCCTGTACATCTGGCAGGACAGGCATGCTCCTGGTCCCATTTGCAAGAGAGTGCCATCTGTCGGGACCCAGGAGGAGAGCTTTTTGTGCCATGGTTCCCACCCTCTGGAACATCATCCCCGCAGAAATTAGACTTGTCCCAACCCTGTTGGCTTTCGCAAGGCACTAAAAACTTGACTTTGCCATTGAGCCTGGAGCCCTGATAACATGGATGAGCCTGTGGCTTGAGTGGTTGAGTCTTCTCAGCTGCACTTTTTATGTTATTTTTGTTGTTTTTAACTCCAGTTGTTTTTATTGTTTTTTATTCTGTTTTAATGGTGAGCTGCCCAGTGTCATGGATATGAGATGGGCAGCCTATAAATTTATTAAATAAATAAATAAGGTTGCTAAGAGTCAACAATGACTTGATAGTACATAATCAATTGTTTTGATGAAATTAGTATTAGTTTATACAACATGCTATTTTGGAAATTGTGCTTTGACTCTATTTTCTCCATCTTTTTAGAAAGCATTGCAAGGTATGCCTCTTTAGCAGGGTTTTTTTAATGGCTTTTATTACAGATTTGTTTTACTTTTAATATGTTTTGATATTTTATTACTATTAGTTACCTTGAGACTGCTTATCAGATGGAAAGGCAGCAAATATCCAATAAAGAGTATGATGTGTCTTTTTGCTTCAGTTATTACCTTGGTAAAAGAAATACCAGTGTTGCTTCTTCTAACATAATTACCAGCACACCGTAAACAAAAAAGCAGCATACAGAAAAAATAAGATTCACACTTTTAAGAAAATCTGACCATTTAAATTGCTTGAGACTAGCACTGGACATAAATTTGCCCTTTAAAAAAAAAATATATATATATATACACACACACACACACATACACACACACTATGTGAAAGAAGCTTCATTTTTCCTAAAGGCAAGAGTTTCTCCTATATTTCTTTCGGTGGTGTTTTTATTTATCATTGCAAAATGGGTGAGAACATTGTGTACTTTGTTCTACAGCTTATCTTTTCACTGCTTCACAGCCTTTTTAGCTGCCCATCCTTCTTCATTTAACCTCGATTTCTTCCCTTGACTTTTTACTGAGTGATGGGAAAATGGGATGCTAAATTGCTGAAGAGATGATTGCACAATCAGATAAAACTCTCATAATCCCCAACCACTCCATAATGGAGGTAAGTGCAAAATTCCCGTACTGCCACCCACAAAAATACAAACAGAACTTTCTATTCCTATGAAATGCATCTCAAAACCAGTATCTTTTGTATCAGAATTAAATGAGTGTTAGTGGTCAAAAAGTACAGCAGAAATTTCTGAAACAACTTCAGATATAACAGCCAATAATTCGTTATAATTTGTTTAGGAAGCAACAGAGTGTTTCCAGCTAAAAATGTACAGGTAGGATTGAAGTTTTATTTATTCGGTGATCCATATTCCCTATGCCAAGTTGGCCATGCAAAGACCTGTTTATCTTGTAAACACCACTCATGTAATTTATTATCACTCTGCTAAGAAAGAGGCTTAAGAAGCTAGGATAACTTTGAAGTAATTAGGAGTCTCTTGCACATTACTAGCCTTGTGTAACCGTAAGAAGCTGTAGAAGCTGTGAACTGATGTTTGGACTCATTGTTAGTCTAGAATAAATTTAAATAACAAGGGGAGGGCAGACTAGCTTAAGTAGGTATTGGTGATTGTCTTGTTTTGGATGGAGTTGGATTCAATTAGCAACATCATTAGAATTCTGCAGTAATGGAAAAATGGCATGTGCTATTACAGAGTTTTTGTGAAGCTGCATTAGTGAATGAATTTATTTGGGTGCTTTCTCTTGTATAAAAATCAGTCCTGCAAGTGGAAAGCCTTCATACTGAAAAGATTATTAAAAACTTTATGATATGTTTCTCCAACAAGCAGAAACTTACATACTTTGGGCATGTGATTCAAGCAGATGAAGGACTACAATTTGGCAAGATCGAAGGAAGCTGAAGAAACAGAATGCAATGGGTAAGATGGATGGGCAGGATCAAGGTGATCTTCGAATGTCCTTGGAACTGCTGCAAATTGCCCACATAGTCACCAGGGGTCAGGCTCAGCAGATGGCACTGTTCAATGAAGACTATTTCTACTTTATGCCCAGTACATTCCACTGTTAATTTAAAAATGTTTGGTATCCAAAGATACTTTGAATGCCATTTATTCTCTGTGGGTGTCACTCTGTGTTTGTGTGTGTAGAATTATATACAAAATAGAGAACTCTGGAAAAAGGAAAATATATATTTTATTCAAAACAATTCTGGCATCAAAGGAATCTATGAACTAATAACAAAATACTGCACTGAATGAGTACAGCAACTCTTCCTGTTTGCAAATTATATTTAACAATCTTACCCAATTTCTCATTCTCTGATTCCCCAAATTGTATCTCATTCAACAATCACATGTTATAAGAACTGTAAGTTACAGCATGGAAATAAATCCCTGCTAAGCAAGAATGACATGGTATCATGTGTCATGTTTAAGTATCAGACCACACTGAAAGTTTTTTTATTTTTTAAAACTAAAACCAGATATACAACATAGAATTGCATTGCCACACAAGAGTTTTACATTCTGTTTTTGCAGTAAGTGGACTTTTGTTAGAATTTAAGGATTCTCAGATATCATGCTTTTGGGTTTTTGTTTTTTTTTAAAGAATACTGTGATGAAAATAAATATTCAAAGCTTAAAATACAGTATCTGAAGAAACAGAGAGAATCACTTTTTTGTATCCCAATTTAACTTTTAAGGAAATTGACTTAAGAACTGATATTAGAATTTTCTGGGTCAAATGAAAGGGACGCATTGATCAGAATAACTTGACTTTCACATGTCTCTCTTCCCGTGAAGAAAAATGGCAATTGTAAAGGTGCCTGAAATCCATTGTAAGATTTACAAGATTTGAAGTTAAAAAAAAAAAAATCATTCAATGCAATGCAATGATTTAATTCTCTTCATGAAAATAATATGCAAATCAGGGACCAAATCCAGCCCTTTATTTATAAGCAAAAAGTGTAGGTATGATACTGCATACTGGTCCTGTACCAATCAATTTTGGGATTATGAGATCTTCTTGGGAAGGAGAAAGAGCGGGGACAGATCAGCCTACACTGGAAAGGGAGCAATTTATATGACCCAAGAAACTTCAAAGCTGAAGAGACCCTTTTTACATTTCCCTTGACATCACATGCATGCCCCAAAGGGGTGGAGTTTGGAGCACCTTGCTGCTTTGGTCATTTTGACAAAAGCAGGAAGTTTCTGCGGATGCCCATCAATATATCCATTATCTTCCAGCTCCATCCAAAATGCCACACAATCCTACAAACTGGACCACCTGCACACAGAGGCTATCCTAGCTAACTAAAGCCCTGATTGGGAAACACTGGAGGAATGATCTTATGAATATCTCCCATTACAGCTCTGCAGTATAACATAACTCACCCTGGAGCAGAGGCCTAATATATGTGTATTATTTTTGGAGATGAATACTAGCACTCACTGCATTATATACTACCCTCAGATCGTTTTGACCATGCAGAGATCAGGTACTGGATCATGTCTTGTGTTATGTACATGTAGCTTCACTATAAACTATAGTCAACATAATTAATCGTATCGAAGACTCCCCAACGAACTATGCTAACTAATTACTTCCTTGGAATAGTAAAAATAACCTATGTATTGAAAGTAAAGATTAAAATACAGACTTTCTTACTTTCCATATGTATTTACCAGTAGAAATATACTTTATAATTCTGCAAACAACATTTTATATTAAAGCTTTCAGTCTGCAAATCATTCTGATTTTAGCATGGCAAAAATCTATGTTTTGGTTCTTGTCTTTACATTTCCCTTTTTTGGTGAAAGAGAGAATAGTGGTTGAGTAATGAACTTCAGCAAAAATAAGTAAATGCAAATGATACAAACACATTTATTTAGAAAAATAAACTGAAAATGCCTATTTATCTGACACATTTTCCATGAAGAACAGATCTTTAGCTATAAAAATGTCGTGTGTCAAATATGTAATACAAATATGCTTTTTTCCCCTTCTTTATAGTAATTGGGAGGTTACTGTTGGTATTCATTAGGAACATACCAGTTGTCTCGGTCAATTTCTTTGTTTTTACACCGATACAAAAATGTATTAAAATTAGGTTGATTCTAAAATCCATGTTAGCTTGTTGATGCTTTCTTGTTATCATTATTGTTATCTCAGTTCTAAGGAGCAACTTTTTTTTTTTTAAAAGATTCCAGCTGCAAAGTGATGGAGGGACATTATGTTTTCTTCCCTTTTGCAGACAAATTGAATTTCTTTTGCTCTGAAACTCTCAACATACATCTTGTCGGCTAAAATTTCATGTGGCCATCTGTGCAAATGATGGCTTACATCATTCCCCTGAATGAAAATGACAGTGCAAATATTAGAAGTGCATTGCGATGCATGCTGTAACAGTTGAATTGTTTCAGCAAAGGACAGGAAACAACCTTTTTCCAAGCATTTTAGCATCAACTGTCTCTCTTCTATGGCTTTGAATTTGCACAGGAGACAATAATAGCCTTCTCTTCCACCCAAAATACATTGGCATTGCCTGATCCATTTAAGTGCTTCCAACTTTGTTTTGCTACATCTGTTTAACACATTTGGCCGGATCACAGGAATGCTGTTCAGCGACTGTTGTTTCTGCATTGGGTCAGAAAAGTAACTGACTTTTGTTTCTTCTGTCAGAGTGCATGGTGCTTAAGGCTGTGGCTTTTGTCAGGACTCAGCTCATAGCTGTTGAATGAGGCCAGTGGATTAATGCAGATGGCACTAGTCATCAGTTGTGCTCAGGCTCCAGGGTGTTCATGCTCTAAGGAGAGTCCCTGTTGTTAGAATTTCGTATTGCCTGAAAGAGGTTGCACTGTCAAATCTGTCATGGGAGAACTGGTTATCGTGTCGTCAAATATTAAGATACCTTCCAGCCTGAAGGAGCTGCAACAGAGAAAAGAAAGAACAAGTTACCAAGTAAATATAGGTATGTAAAAGAATAGTATATGATCAATTACACTTCTTTTCCTTTAGAAAACTGCTTCTCATGTTGCTCAGAAAGAATGCAAAAACTGCTTGGAATCCTTTGAACCATTTATGTGGCAGCTCTCGATGCATGCAATAGCAGCTTTATTCTTTAGGTTAGTAGCATGGGCCCAAGAGAATGAGTAGATATCTTGAACTGAGTAACGGAAGATCATATTTGCTTCCCATTCCAGATTCTTGAATCACAGAGACCCTAAGGACATGCCTTTATATTTTGGGTATAAATTGAACAGTTATTATTAATTTCTCAGGAGAAAAAAAAGTAATAAAATGCAAAATTTAATTTCAAATAAATTAGAAGCTTAATGCTAACTCAGAACCTTGGCTTCATTAGTAAATAATACAGTACAGGTAGTCCTCATTTAGTCACCACAATTGGGACTGGCAACTCAGTCATTAAATGAAGCGATCGCTAAGTGAAACCATGACTGCTTGTGATTTTACTTCAGCTTTCCTTTGCTTTACAGACCTGTAAAGGTTGTAAAGTTACTTTTTCATCACCGTCGTAACTGCCAATGGTGGCTAAACGAGGCAGTCACTAAACAAGGACTACCTGTATCTCCATTAAAGTCCAAAGTCACACCAGTTTATTGCAGGCAAAAATCTAAGAATATTTTAGGTTTTTACAATGCAGTCTTACATGTCATTACTCAAAAGCAAATCCCACTGACTCTCAGAACAGATGTTAAGTGCTTGTTCTTCTGTTCCATACTCTCATGAATTTCTCTACAACACTTAGGATAATAGGAGAGAGTTTCTTATTAATGCTTGTTTATTTTTTAAGAAAAGGTACGTCTCTATGAGCAATTAAACTGTTGCGAATTGATTATCTGTGACATATAGTTTCCTTAGTTTATTGGAAATGGCCAATTGTGGACCAGCAACTTGTGTGAAGATAAAAATTTAAAAGTTCTTCCTGAAACATTTTTAGGGTTTTTGTAGGATACGTACCACTGCTGAAAACTAGAGCGATATAACACTAAGTAGTTAATACTTAATAGTTACTGTTCAATGGCAATGATAAACTACTAAGCATCATCTGAATGCACCCAGGAATAATTACCTGAGAATGTTTCACATGATCTCCAGGCACTGAAAATATCCCTTACATTTAAAATAATTCTTAAGTCTGTATCAATCAATCAATCAATCAATCAATCAATCAGTTTTATTGATTAGTCTTGCAACCATATC